CTAAAACAAGTTAGGACTTCTACATTTTGAAAGGCTGGGAGGCATTGCAGTTCATTAACATATGACCTTCTCTGTAATTAAAAATCCTCATTTTCAGTCCTGATCTAGAGATCTCTTAGGTCTGCCTGGTGGAAAGTCAATCAGCTAGTTTCACTCCAAACCACATAAATTGGAAACCAGAGGATCTAAGCAATTCCAACTAGTAAAATAAGGTCTCCTTGAAATCTCCTTTAACTCCTGGTATAAATATTTGGATTATTTATATCAATTTAGCATGTTAATCTTTGGGAAGATTGTTTTGTTTTATTTTTCTTGAATTTGTTTTGGTATTTCATAACTATTTTTTAATGATCCTATATTATTATATTACTATAAATTACTGTCTTTTAATTTGTTTTTGTGTATTTCTTTTTCAAAATTACATCTTTTTTGTAAGTTTGACACTGAATATATTTCTGCAGTTTCATTACCACATTCAAGAAATATTGCTGGTTCTGACTGCTTTCCAAGAACTGCAACACATAGAACATGTGCTACAATAGAGATAAAAAGGTTATATCAAACCAAATTATTATTTAATTTTTTCTTAATCTAATTATATGGTATACTGATAGATTGTATAGGGTCTAGCATCTTTACTTTCTTTATTGTAAAGTGGTTATTTGTTTGGTATTCTACTTTTCCTTAGAGACAGAGCTGCCTTTTAATAGGGTAGGACAAGAAGCAATGGGTGGAAACTAATCAAGGAGAGAAGCAACTTAGAACTAAGGAGAAATTTCCTGACAGTTAGAACAATTAATCAATGAAACAACTTGCCTCCAGAGATTGTGAATGCTCCAACACTGGAAGTTTTTAAGAAGATATTGGATAACCATTTGTCTGAAATGGTGTAGGATTTCCTGCCTAAGCAGGGGGTTGGACTACAAGACCTCCAAGGTCCCTTCCAACTCTGTTATTCTAAATTCTAATATATGTTTAGGGTTACCATATCTGGGCTGCAGTTGGAAAACTTCAGGCATTACAGACCAAATCCAAAAGTACTAGGCAATTCCTGGAAGCTTGGGATTCTAGTAAATCAGACCTCAATAAACATAGAGATAATCCATACAGTATTTACACACCATTCATAAAGAGACAATAAAAAGCTAAGAAGGAAACAAAAGGTCCAGAGCACATCCTGTCCAGCAGCCTATATCCAGATAAGTAAGGATTAAAACCAGACAAACAAGCAGACAGAAAGCAATGGCCTAATCAAGTAACTACCAAGGAGGAAACCACATCTTCGCCAACATGGTAAGGCAAATTATTATCTATAAATGAAACACTCATTTCTATAAACCCCTCACTCATTAGCCCTGATAATGTTATCTAGCTGGGTAATGAAATGTATGCAAGCAATCAAGCTTAGAGACCACCAAGGACTCCACAGTAATCTCAATCATTATGAACAGTAACAGACTTTAACCATACAACTTTCTCAATTGCATTAATGGTTTCCCCCCTAGTTAATGGGGCGCTTTTAGAAGTAATAGAAATAACATTTGGGACCAAGGTTTCTAACTTAACCTAACATAAAGTTAGAACAGGAACCGTTTTGTCCCTCCTATATTCTTGTATAGCAAATATTTCAAAGCAGATATTTCAAAATACTGTCAGTTTCCATTGTTTCTCCAAAATAAATCAAGCCTTGTAACACAGCCCTGGGATTCATCTCACAAAGTAAAATGTAGAGGGCAACCAGTGTACTGTGTTTAGCTTAAAGCAAGTTACATGTAAATTATTAATCCACATAGATTTCTTGCCTTTCCTATGAATAGGACAAACTGCTGATCTCAAATACAGATTGACAAGAATTTTCCGATCACTTTATGTATTTTATAACAGTTAGAGGCATTTTATTATTTAATTTTAAAACCACTAACAGTGTGATGGAAAAATGAGGGGGGGGGAAAGTTAGGCCCGCTCCCTAACTAAAAAATTATTAAAGGGCAAAAGACACTTCATTTGAGCTGTTGGAAACATGATCCCTGCAATTCAGAGGCCATCCTGTTCATGTGTCTAAATCGCTCAGTCACATAATCCATTTTGTGAAGAAGGATTGTCTCAGAGCACGTTCACCCTTCTTGGGTCATTCAAACTCTCCACAGTTCTCCAGTCCTTGAAGATTATAAGGGGGAAAGTTTGAGCTAAGCTTTCAAAACAGACTTGCCTGATTGTGTGTGAATGCCACAAGCACGTAGACGCGTGATGGGGAACCTATGGCACGTGTGCCAGAGGTGGCACGCAGTGCCCTCTCTGTGGGCATGCGAGCCGTTGCCCCAGTTCAGCTCCGCTACGCATGCGTGCGCACCTCCAGCCGGCCAGCTGGTCTTCGGGTCTCTGCCACACATGCGGGGGGGGGGTGTATGTGTGCGGGGGGGCATGCATGGGGGGCACATGCGGGGGGCACTGCATGCATGCATGGGGGGGCATGCAGGGGGCACTGCATGCATGCATGGGGGGGCATGCAGGGAGCCGCACGCACATTGCATTTTGGGGGTTCGGGCGCGCGCTTTGGGCACTTGGTCTGGAAAAGCTTAGCTATCACTGACCTAGACTGTCCCAAAAGTGCTTTTTCAAAAGGCAACTGGACTTTGTTTTTTCTTTGAAGACATTTCACTTCTCATCCAAGAAGCTTCTTCAATGAGAAATGAAACGGCTTCAAAGAGAAAACAAAAATCCAATTGCCTTTTGAAAAAGCATCTTTTGGATTTGGAACAACCATGACCTGGATGACTGAGAATCTCCATAGATGTTCAAGCACCCAGACTACTTTCTTTCTTTTTTTTCCTATGTAATAATTTTGCTTGAAAACCAGAAATGCCTGGAGTATTAAGAAGTGTTACTTTCCCTTAGTTTGTCTAGACTACATTGTTCCTCCTTTTCCTTAATATGGTGAAGAGAAAAGGCTGGGGTTGTTATAAAATTCTTGGTAGTCCACCTGGAAACACCCCTAATTAGCTGTTTTCTAAAATGGCGTTTCTAAACCTTGGCAACTTTAAGATGCATGGACTTTAGTGTGCTGACTGGGGAATTGTTGGACCAGACATCCACACATCTTAAAGTTGCAAGGTTGAGAAATACTGGTCTAGATTCTAGAAAATTCTACTACATTCTGAGACACAATACCTCTTCCATGAAACCATATAGAAAGAAAAATTGGGACTGATCTCGATTTGTTAACCAAAGGAGGATGAGGAGAAGCAATTTGGGGAGATTCCATTATTAAGAACTGCTCAAAAATAGATTGTACTGGTTGCTTTTATGCTTTTTTGTACTGGATTTATGAAGTGTGGTTTTTAAAAAATGTACTATCGGTCTGCCAGGTTTTGTGTCCCTGATTAATCTTCTGCCCCAGCTGCAAAATGCTCTATTTCATGAGCTCCAATTAAACAAGAGTAAGTGATCTCTCTTATACAGTACATTGATACATTACAGTATGGAGTCAGTCAACTGGATGGAAACCTAAATTGTCTTATCATCTCTTCTGGAATCTTGTATCTCTTTCTGTATAAAAGTAGATGCAAATGAGCAAGAGGACTGAATAATAACTAAGGGCTTCCTATGTACTTCTAAACACTTTTCTTAAATTAATGCATAATAAAGGAAATCCTTGCTAAGGTTGGTTGCAAGGTCCACATTCCTCTCTATTAAGGGTGCCTTGTATTTTAAAAGGGTTGATGTTTTTCAGATTATGGCATGTCACAGAAATATTTTGAGCACATTTGGAGATGACAAGCAGAATTCTATAGTGGGATATTATCAGGGGTGAAATGCTCCTGGTTTGGACCAGATCGTCCGATCCGGTAGCGATGGCGGCGGGTGATTCGGAGAACCGATAGCAAAAATCCCTGTGCGGCGCCCCCCCCCCATGCCCAGCTGAGCCGCGAGATCATTAGAGGCTGTTTTTTTTTACTTCTAAAAGCATTTTTTTCTGCAGGAAAAAAAATGCCTTTAAAAGCCTCTGGCGATCCCAGCTGAGTTGCCTGGTTGTCAGAAGCTTCTAAAAGCATTTTTTTCTGCAACCTCTTTGGCTGAAGAGGTTGTAGAAAAAATGCTTTTAAAAGTAAAAAAAAAAAAAAAGTTGGCCACGGCCACCTAGTCACATTACCACCCCCACAAGCCACGCCCACAGAACTGGTAGTAACAAATTTTAGATTTCACCCCTGGATATTATGCTGCTGGTAAGGGTATATTGAAAGATGATGGACTTCAGCTTTGCTGAATCTTATATTCTGGGGTGAGGGGATCAAGAGAAGGCACTACTCTCTAACAAGCCGTTTGGGTTCAGAAAAAAATTATCCTGTAATCTACAACACCTACACTGCAGAAACATTTGGATTACACAACTCGACCAGGGTAAAGCAATAGATGCAATTTACATAGACTTCTGCAAAGCCTTTGATTCAGTGGTACATGACAAACTACTGTTAAAACTATGCTCTTACAGTATTTCCAGATCACTGCACAAATGGATAGCTGCATTCCTGTCAAACAGGCCACAAGTAGTCAAAATAAAGAGTGCTCTATCAAATGCTGCACCAGTTAACAGTGGTGTCCCCCATGGCAGCGTTCTAGGACCCACTCTCTTTCTAATATACCATCAGCTTGCTAAGTAAGTAACTCAGGGCTCTCAAGGAAACTGATTTTTCTGTGTGGCAGTTCAGTCAGAAGCAATCTTTGATGTTTAAAACCTTTCCAGCATTGGGAAACCAGAGAACCATGACAAACCAATTAGCAACTTGGATATCAAGGTGGGGCGTGTAACAGGAGAAACAAGAACAGGAGCCTTGAGTGACAATTTGAGAGGCAGCCAATTCTCTGGAGGCAATTCTCTGGAACGTTAGAAACAGCTTGTACTGCAAGCCCAAGGTTGAATCAGTCCAGCTACACATTTGACCAGGGAAACGATCCAACTGTGTTTGTGTTGTGCTGATGGCAGACAACTCTACAGACTAACAAGTTTGCATTTTGGATTCTGACCAGGTTGAGCCAGTTACTAGCTCTATTTTTTTTTTTTGTACTCTGTGAGAGCGGCCCTAAAACAGCAGCAATATTCGCCAGCACATTTTTTCTAATGGGAACATCTTGCTGTATTATTATCAGCATTATCAGCATTTCTCAAGAATCTCTGGTGAGGCAGAGTTGACAAGGTGGAGAATAAAGGTGGAGCACAGGAGCATCCGGTGACATCATACAAGGAGCACTATCTAGGATTAATAACTGGAAGCACCTAAGCAGCACATCAGAAATCCATCTCTCATCATCCAAAAGGTATAATGGCTCTCCTCAAACTTTTTCTCATGGCTTTCAGCTTTGTCTTCTGGGCAGCAGGTCTAACCATGCTCACCATTGGTATCTGGGCCAAGATTTCATTAGGTACCTACTTGCTGTTGTCAACCAATCAATACCCTCCCAACCCTTTCATTTTGTTGGCTGCTGGCATCACTATCATCGTATGGGGCTTTCTGGGTTGCTTTAGTGCTGCCACTGAACATCGTTGCCTACTGCGCACTTATGGGGGCTTCCAGCTGGCTGTTTTTGCTGCTGGACTGACAGCAGGGCTGTCTAGCTTGTTTTATCGTGAGAATATTGCTGAGGGTTTCCAGAGTGGACTGCGAGAAGCCATAAATTCCTACAGCAAGGATGAGGAAAAAACAGAGGCCCTGGATTTCATTCAGCGCAACCTGAATTGCTGTGGCATAGAGAGTTACCGTGATTGGTTTTCCTCACCCTGGTCGGTAGAGCAACAGGCCCCGAATCACTCTGTGCCCCTCAGCTGTTGCAGGAGCCGAAAAGGTTGCCTGCATGCTCCACTCCCTTCCGATGCGAGAGGTATTTACCACAATGGCTGCTTCACCAAGGTGCACGACTTTGTCAGCTACAATATGTTCTACATTGCCTCAGCTGCACTTGGACTGGCCCTCATGCAAGTTGTGGGGATCATCCTTTCTTGCCTCCTAGCTGCACGTGTCCTACCACAGGCAGAATCACCTGCAGGGACCATCCCACACTGAATATGGAGTCCTGGGAGTCTTCCTTCTTTCAAGGCACTGTACTCTTCTTCCATAAACTTCACTTTTCAGGACCAAATTCACCAACATCTGTTGGATTGTTGCATATCAGACTCTGGTAGACTCCTTTGCTCCATCTAGCATTCCTGATTCTTCAGTGGTTCATTCTCCTTATTCTCCATCCTTTTTATCCTTGTCACCATGGCAAGAAACTACTTCATGTTTTTCCTTGATCTCTTTTCTCGTAAGATGGAACAATGCTATTTTGTCTTCCAGAACTTTTTTACCCCAATTAGCTTCCTTTTTAACACCTTTAGCAACCGGAATTGGCAGCCCTTCTATCATTCAGCTGGAGATTTTTTGGCTCACTTCACAGAAAATTAAACTGTAAAGCTATTCTCAGTTGGATGCCTTTTAAAAGCTATGTTTTTTTTATCAACAGTGCTAGGAAGAACAAAACCTCCATTTTTTTTCTTGTTTCAGCCAGTGAAAATTTGTGATAAGAGTTTCCTGGGGAAGGGAAGTGGAGAAAATTGAGAAGAAAACCCAGATTAAGGTTAGAAAGTAGTCCCAGTATTATGATAGAAATGTGGAGGAGGGGAGTTGTAACTTATTATAATTAAATCATAGTTTACTGTAATATATTTCTTGAAAAAATAATGCTACATGCATTTCAGCCTAGAAACAGGCCCTGTCGCTTCTATAGAGTTTATTCTGAAGGAAATGCATAGGATTGCAGCCTGCAATTTCTGCTGGTTCGAATCTCTCCAAAGCTCAAGGTTGACTCAGCCTTCCATCCTTTCTAAGGTAGGTGAAATGAGGACCCAGTTTGTGGGGGCAATAAGCTGACTTTGTATAAAATATACAAAAGAATGAAGGCTATTGCTTAACGCATTGTAAGCCGCCCTGAGTCTCCAGAGAAGGGCGGCATATAAATAAATAAATAAATAAAAAAATGGCAATCCTCATGCATTCATGAAAAGTGTCTTTGACATCATGTTGTAGGTCTTAATTCAGCAACTGTTCCTCCTTTAAATTGTATTCTGACAAGTAATTTACCCACATTATTTTAAGATGTAGTTATAGGGCTTAAGAGGTTTAAGCTAATTGCTCTAGTCTAGCCTGTCTACCTGGTACCTACAATAATATTTTATGTATCTACAGCTGATATCACCATATATTAAGTACTGTATGTGGCCATCACAGAATTTAAAACCTTGGACTGTGATTTTTTATTTTGTTTTAATTAGCAAGTGAACATATTTCCCTATTTAGTAATGTTATATCGTCAGAGTTTTCTTCGCATTTCTTCACAGCCTGTTGCCTTTCCTTGTAAAGCATATTCATCATCATAATTGGATGGACAGAGAAAACTTTTGGTGGCCAGCTAATAACATGGATAATTCGGCTATCTCATCTTTAGCACGTGTTTTTCCTGAGGTTAACTCTTCTAAGTTAAACCTGTTCATATGATATATGATTTGCAAATGTGGGTTTTTTCCTTCCATACGAGTAATAAGTAGCTGTGGGGGTTAAAGTTGCTGATCTTGTCAGAAATAAATGAAATTAGATTTTTTCCCCCTGACAATTTTCACAAAGAGAAAAACATGTATTATCCTCCAGAGTAAGATCTTGCTATCTTAAGACAGAAAAAGAGTACTTTAATCACTACCCTTTCTGGTTTTGTTATCCAGAGGAATTATTCTGTTTAATTCAGTTTCTTTTAAATTACAAATTGCCAAAGAAATCAACAAGTAATAATTTATCAATGACTGGTATGGTTACATTTATGCCTGGCTTTTCAAGTGATCTGATTGTCACAGACTTTTGTATTCTGTTAAATACTCAGGAACTAGTCAATGCTGGCTGAGGAATTTTGGGAGTTGAAATCCACACATTTAACAGTGGACAAATTTGGGAAAAAATGGTTGAAACAGCTTCAGGGTAACAATATTAAATTTGTAATCATTAAAATAACTGCCTAATAAAATAAATAAATCTCTCCAATGGTTTAAACTTATATGATCAAGCTGAAGAAGGAGAGCAAAAATGTATAGTGGTATCATTCAGTGAAAATAGAATAGAATAGAATAGAATAGAATAGAATAGAATAGAATAGAATAGAATTGAATTGAATTGAATTGAATTGAATTTTTTTTATTGGCCAAGTGTGATTGGACACACAAGGAATTTATCTTGGTGCATAATCTCTCAGTGTTCATAAAAGAAAAGATATGGCATATGAGTTGTCTGGTTTTAAGTTTCTTGTATGGTTATGAAAGGTGAGTTTAGCTTCCTTCCATTTGAAGGAATTATTGTAATATTTATAATATTAAGATTTGTATTATCTGTAATTAGTGTAGGTAACTTGTCATATTATACTATGTATGTCTAGTAAGTAAATACCTATTATATAACTGTTCCTAAAACTTTATCATATATGGCAATTTTTTTAAAGCTGCATTTTTCTTTCTATTTCTATATTTCTACATTGTAGAAATATATTGTGTATTTTATGTTGTAACACAAGAAAGTATGCACTTTTTAAAGAAAAGTCAGCAATTTTTACGAAGGGATTCTTTATGCCTGGAAAATAAATTCATCCCTGCAAATTGCAACTCTGTTTAAAAATGACTTGCGTTCTCCCCCACTTCTCTGTCTCTCTATTTTGTGTGTATGTGTGCGTGCACATGTGTTAGATACTTATTCTTCCTGACTGGTGAAAGTCTCCAGGACAGGGACTTGCAGATGGGTCCAGGTGATTAATACACGGGGCGGGTGTTCCCAGCACCATTTAAGAGACCTTGGTCTGCCCCCTCCTCAAGAAATCATTATCGGATCCAACCTGTCTGGGCAATTTTTGTCCCTTGTCCAACCCTCAGGTCTCTCTTGCACTCCCAGGCTTTTTTTCTTTTTTCTTTCTCACGTTGTCAACTGATTTGTTTAATACCTATCTAATACCTCTCTCTATATATATACCTAATATATCTATGAGCCAACTAAGTGATAGCAATGACTTCAGGTTTGTGTATCTTGGATGACTCCCGATTGCTTCTTCAGTGAGTTAACCACATGAAGAGGCAAAACAAGGAATCTTTTTCTCTCCCAGTCACCCTTTCTTTGAGGTTTGTGAAACTGCGAATAGTACAGTCAATGTCCGACGTGTGCATGCTCTGTGCATTGGCTGGACCACTGCTGAATCAACCCATTTATAAAAGGAAAAGAAAGGGGCGGTGGGCACCAGTCTCTCAGACCCCAAAAAAAGGACTGCAGTGTGTGAAAAGGTTATGGACTGGAGTGAAAGAGGTGATTCCCCAGGGAACTGGCAGAACCAGTCAGAGCAACAGGAGTCCCAGTATGGGGACATCACTGGTTGGCTTTCCAATGGATATCAAGTTCAACGCACTCTACATTGTTCATACGTAGACCTTGAGTTGAAATATTAAGGAAAATAGCTCTTCAAGGGCAAAGCTCCTTAAGCTGTCCTCAAGCTACTTCATCTGTTGGAAGGATACTGAGATACAGGTGGATGGATGGGATTGTGTGCTCTGGAAAATTTTAATGAGCTGTATTTGTGCTAAGGTAAGGAAGCTGGGTAAATTTACTCCAAATAAATGGCAATCCATTAGTTGCAAAACTGAGATTGGACATGGCGTCCTTTTCTCCATCATGTAAAGTAATATATGCAATATTGTGCTGTTCAGAATTTTTTTTTTCCTGCACCATTTCTTTTACAGTCTTGTATTTAGAATTCTTTATTGACCAAGTGTGATTGGACACACAAGGAATTTGTCTTTGGTGCATATGCTCTCAGTGTACATAGAAAGAAAAGATATATTCGTTAAGAATCATAAGGTACAACATTTATGTCATAGGGTACAAAATAAGCAATCAAATCATTCTAGGAAACAATCCATATAAATCATGAGGATACAGCAACAAGTTACAACCATACAGTCATAAGTGGGAGGAGATGGGTGATAGGAATGATGAGAAGGTAATAGATTAATTTCTGGGTGAAGAGTTACGGTTGACTGAAGTCAAATATTCAGTGGAACTCAGTTTAATTGGTATTAAAGACAAAATTATGCAGAAATAACTTTGCATATTCTCCAATTTATATATATCCAAATGATATACATAACCTTTCCAGAAGCAGTTCATTTACCCAATGATTTAAATGGATCAGCTAAGTACCGTATTTTTCGGAGTATAAAACATACCTTTTTCCCCCAAAAAAGAGGGTGAAAATCTGGGTGCATTTTATACTCTGAATATAGCCCTGCCCAGCCTCGCAAACGAAGATTTCAGAGGCTGAAAGAAGCTTCAGAAAAAAAGCCTCTGAAAGGCTTTTATCTAAAATAATATGGCAAGCAACAAAAGAAGAATCAGTAAAGGTTCTAACCAAACTATGCTAACAAAACTGGAGAACGACACAATAACCAACAGATTGGAAGAGGTTAATCTATATACCAATACCAAAGAAAGGAGATTGAATAGAGTACAGATAGTCCTTCAGAATAAAAGCCATTGAAAGAAGCTTCAGAAAATTAACCTCCAAACAGAGCTTCAGAAAAAAAAAGCCTTTTTTTCTGAAGCTCTTTTTCGGAGGCTTTCAGAGGCAGAAAAAAAAAGTTTTTCCTGAAACAGAGTTTCAGAAGTTTCAGAGGCAGAAAAAAAAGCAAGGCACAGAGCTCACAACCAACGAACCTATTGCTAAAATTCACCTCTGGGAACAGCTGATTGGGGGTATTCCGGGAGGCCGATCCACCCACCAATCAGCTTTTTTCTTATTTTCCTCCCCAAAAACTAAGGTGCGTCATATACTCTGAAAAATACAGTATATATTGTATATATTGTATATGTATATATTGTAAATATTGTAGATGTAGCAGAATCTCTGGATCCCCTATAGCAAGATGGCATGTTTCTTGACAACATTTTACTATTTTTCTATTCAGCTAAAAGCAAAGGAACTTTTGGTAAATAGTGCAGGCATTTGGGTACTATGTTCTGCTATTGGAGAATATGATTGGCTCCCATATTTCACTAAGCCATGGTATGCTTTAATGGTTTGGTTGAAGGAGCCATAAAATATGTTGACAGACCACAGCACGCAAAGCCAAAACTAAATGTACTACACAGTGGGTTACAATGATGTTTGAACCCTTTTATGTTCCATTCACCATGAAACAAATAGGACCATCTGGTGAGAAGTAAGGGGCAACGATCAAATCATGTATCAGCAGAAAAAAGCAAATGGGATGAAAGAAGAAAATAGCCTAACCAATTTATTCCCTTTCCAAACCATTCCCAGATTTTTAACGTTCTAACATCCAGATTAGAATTTTCCATTCCGTGCAGTTTGAATTAAAAACGGATAAGTGGTGAGGGTTGGGTTTTTTTTGAAAGGCCAACCTTTCTCAGAAATGTCTAGTCTAATTATCAATTCTGCCTTTCTGTTTATAGAATATGTGCCAGTGGTGGGATTCAGCCAGTTCGCACCACTTCGGGAGAACTGGTTGTTAACTTTCTGAGCAGTTTGGCAAACTGGTT